GGAGAGGTTTCTGATCCTGAGGCAGTGCCCTATTTGCAGAATATCCCTCTGTGACTAGGTGTGTCAGCCCTGCACTGGCACATCAAGAGCTGACCCATCTTTGTTAGAAGAAGAAGCCATGCCCCATTTGCTCTGCTGGGCATACTCCAGCTGGAACCAGGGTATAAAAGGCCTGAGATAAGCTTAATCTGGGCTGACTGCTGAGAAGTCAGGTGTACCACAAGCTGATTAAGTGAACCACAGCTGTTCCAAGTTTAGGGGAGTCAGCCAAACAGAACCACATTGACCCACACTGACCAGGGATGTTGCAAGGAATACAGAGACACTGAACTGCAGATGCCACAGAATCAAGTAGAAAGGGACCCATGGAACTATAGGGGGAATTGGCTAAAAGGCTTGGAATGTTGCAGGTTGATCCCTGCCGAGCCGGTGGCAAGAGAGTCCCTGGGTCAGAACTCGGTGGAGCGGGAGGGCCTGGATCCCCCCACCCTGGCCACCACCCACCAGAGGGTGGTGGACCCGCCTACTATACACCAACTGTGGCCATTAGGCTGCGCTACCCCAAGCTCAGGGGATTATACAGTGGGCCATACTATCCCAACTTTAGGGGGCTTGTTCTATTGACTTTGGCTATTGGACCAGATTATCCCAAATGAGAGCAACTGTTAGAGGGACACAGTAACAATCGTGGACACTGATCCACATAGTCCTGAGATGTGGGACACCCTTTAGACCATGGTGTCCAACACGCTAACCACTAGTCACATGTGGCTATTTGGCCAACTGAATGTGACTAGTTTGCTATAGCAGGAGTGGCTACTGCTTCAGAAATGGTTGGACACCATGGCTCTAGACTCGTATGTGGGACTGTGATTTCTCCCTCCAATCCCAATGTATGATGGAGTGTATCATCTAGGGATGTGATAGTGCATCCATTCATACGCCTGGGCTCATCAGTTAACATTCACAGTCCCCCAACCCCCCACATTGCTGCCTCTGTATTTAAGCCAGCTCACCACTTGCACTGGCTCCCACAGAGCCGCCCGCCCCTTCGCACAGTTGCTTCTGATAAAGAGGCAGCAACGCAGGGTAGCGGGTGAGAGCCAGCTTTTAAGCCTGCTCTCTAGGTGCACCAGCTCCCAAGGTGTTGCCTGGACCCCACACCGCTACCTCTTATGGAAAGCAGGAACCAGCGAGCGGGAAGCCACCTTTAGCCAGCTCCCCACATTCACCAGCTCTTGCCTGCCCCGTCTCCCCCACTTCTCCCCACCATGTGTAAGCGATGAAATTTTGAAGGGTTACACAATTACATAATTAAACTCATTTTTACATCCCTAGTATCAGCCCCACAATACCCTCCCATTACTATTAATCAATTAAGTCTGTACCCAGTAAGTCACATACACGTAAGATGCCATCCACTATGCAAATCACAAAACAGACCATAGCCTCTGCATTTATGGAGCGCTTTTCATCTTCAAATCATAAAATCACTAATATGAGTTAATTAATCCTCAACAGCCCTGAGAGGTAGAACTGCAATGGAAATAAATAGTTGTTAGACTACTACAAGCTATTTAAAGAATCTAAAAGTTGGATGTTGGACAACAACTTCTCTATATTAACTACTAACATTAACTGCTACAATTTAAACCAGGACTGATTTAAGAACAGAGGCATAATCTAGAAGGAAAAAGCTGACTATTATAGCAATGAAGCAATTTAGGAGCCAATACAACTTGCACACATACTTTATACAAATTTACCATATCCTTGCTTGAAACTAAATTTAGTCCTAAATTCACTTCATGCCTTACTTCCGCAAGTTTTAAATCTAATATATAAAGGAGAATGGTTGTGCACTAATAACTTGGACACTATAAGAGCTATCGCAACCAAACTTTGCATGGAATAATCTTTAATCCAGGAGAAAAGGTTTTAAGGTACTGTGGGAGGGAAGAGATGACAGACCGACGCCTCTCCCCGGGGCTGCACAGAGCTTGGCAGTGCAGGGAGAAGCGGCTTCCTGGGGGAAGTGCAGGGGCCAGTCACTCACTAAAGCCGGCGGAGAGACAAGGAAGCAGCATGTGGCTTCTTTCCCCCTTCCTCTCCTCAGGTTCCTCATACAAGTTGACAGTTGATATAACTGATATTTCAACAATGTATACTGACAAAATGCAAGGACAGTCACTTAAAGTAGTTGGAATTTATTTGGAGATATCTTGCTTTTCACATGGACAACTCTATGTTGCGTGTTCAAGAGTTGGAAGTGGAAAAAATTTGTACATATTTGTTAAGAATAATGAAACAAAAAATATAGTTTACAATAAAGTTTGATAACATGTAAAACTGGTTGTTTTATACTTTTAAAATATATTTTAATCCCTATAGAACTCAGTGCAACTTTTCTACCATTCAAAAACAATAATGGACTACTGTTTTTCTAAATTTTGTTCTTCCACTTTGCCAAGCAACGCCTGGTAACTCCCACTAGTTTCCTTATAAGGATGGCACAATATATTTTGAATAAAGAATGGTCTGAGCTATGTCAGTTTCAAGTCAAAAAAATTATTCACACCACCAATGAACTTCACCCTTTTAAAAGTTGTTAGAATTATTAGAAAGAGAAAAGATTCAAATACTTTAAAATTAAGGGAAAACTTTTCAGAAAGGGAATTTAAAATCCATGAAAATGTGCAAGACTCAAGTTCTCTATTCACAAAAACAAATTAAGTCAAACACAAATAACTGTACAGCAAGTCAAGTTTCCTTACAAATCAACTCTGACCAGGAGAGATAAGACACATCCACTCAAGAGAAGAGCGACAAGAATGATTAAAGGTCTAGCGAACATGACCTATGAAGCCAGGCTTCATGAATTGGACTTGTTTAGTTTGGAAAAAAGAAGATTAAGGGGGGACATGATAGCGGTTTTCAAATATCTAAGAGGGTGTCACAAGGAGGAAGGAGAAAATTTGTTCCTCTTGGTTTCTGAGGACAGGACAAGGAGTAATGGGCTTAAAGTGCAGCAGGGGAGGTTTAGATTGGACATTAGGAAAAAATTCCTAACTGTCAGGGTGGTCAAATATTGGAATAAATTGCCAAGGGAGGTGGTGGAATCTCCCTCTCTGGAGATATTTAAGAACAGGTTAGATAGACATCTGTCAGGGATGGTGTAGACGGAGCTTGGTCCTGCCTTGAGGGCGGGGGGCTGGACTCGACCTCTCGAGGTCCCTTCCAGTCCTATGATTCTAAGTCTTAGGCCTCTTTAATAAGATAGCAAACAAGAATGTCTTTAAAAATGCACATGTCCACTAAGTACTGCCTCCGGAGAGCTTCATGTGAAACTGGGAGTTAAATACAGTACTGGACTTGACTGACAAATGCATACCAAAACAAACCAGAAAGATTATAACAAAGAGTGCTCTCTAACTGCATCAGATTATAATGGCTCTGATAACCTATTTTTAATTCCTGTGCCATTCAGTTCCTCCTAAAATGGCTATTTTAACACTGAAATGGCTTGTTGAGTGTATATTCATAACCGATCTGCTTGTAAATTTTACACAGAAATCAACAATACCTTGTTATTTTTGTACATTAATAAGAAAGTAAAACAAAGATGAAAAGTGTGTCTGTTACACACAGAGGTCACGCTGTTATTAGTTTAAATCCAATGTTTTACTGGATTAAAAGTAGTATTCGATTGGGTTGTGGGGTTTTTGTTTGGTTTGGTTGGGTTTTTTTCAGCTAGTGTGTTTTGATCTATGTTCTTGTGAGTGTAAGCACGATACTGCAGCTTAACCAACACAAGTTAATCTGTCTGCCCGCAAATAACTCAATACTAACTTGACAGAAAAAACAAGTTTCCAATTTAGCTCAGTGGAGGCTCACACACCAGCCAAACCCCAGAGGGGATTTCAGAGCCCAGGCCCAGCCCAAGCATCTCCATTGCAATTTTATAGACTAGCAAGCTTTGGTCGTGCTGCAGGTCTTTTATCATAGTGCAGAGTACCCAAAGAGTACTATATACTAAGCACTTGTTCCTACTGAACTACAAAATGCCATGTCAATATAAATATCTTTTTCACAACTCAACATGGTGCTTTTTGACAGCTCAGTATCATATAAAGTGTTATTTTAAACCCAGTAACTACCTTTAAAACTTGAAAATTATGTTTACACAGAAACATGCCAACTGGTGAAGTTAACTCTGGCGACAGAGCCATGTAGTCTAGACATACCCAAAGAGAGCTATTATGTTGGTCTGATATGATTTGCTCTTTACCTTGTTTCTGCCCTTTGTGTGGTCTATACAGGACCTCAGGGCAACAAGCACATCCACAGTGGACTCCAAAGATGATGCCAATAGACACAGACAAAAAATGTATTTTTGTCCACACAGCACTGGTGAGATCTGAAGACACTCTGAAGTCCAGACAGCTAAAGTTTAAATATGGGTTACTGGACAAGCTAATGACTCCATCACAAATGGACTTACTGCTGATTCATGGATTAGGTCAGTTGTAAGCGCCTCACACCTCATTTATCCACAAGGCAGAAGAAACATATGATTTGCTTGGTCACTCTCATATTTACCTAAATCTTTCTAGGCTCTTCTCTACAAGCTACACAATAAACTGTATGTAATTAACGAATATACTCTTTCTAAAGTTCTTCTGCAATGGAGTCGTAGGTAGTCAGCAAGTGAGACTTCACTTACCAGAAAAGAACCCAGGGCACTTTATCGGGATAATGAGCCACAATAGTCAGATTAACCATTAAGCTTCTAAGTTTTCAAATACAATTTGCCTTATCAGTTATAGCAAAAGCGAGCCATAAAACATTTTTAAACACACTCTTCAACTTCTGGGATGTGGATTTAAAAAAAATCCCTACTAAAATGTGTACTCAGAGAAAGAAATATGAAAGAGTGAGTAAAAAGGGAAAACTGAGTGAAATAACTGGATTTAAGTATTGTGAATTAATGCAGTATTTACCTCTTCATTCTTTTTCTGCACCCATTCTTTGTGTTTCTCTTCAGCTATCTTTTTTTTCCTTTCAAGTTCCTGCTTTTCTTTTCTTTTCTCCAGTTGTAAATTCATTTCCTAATTAAAATAAATGTATATACATAATTTATTTTCAAACAAATCAAAGTAATTTGAAAAGCATAAAGTTCAGATTTACCAAAATCATTACATGGCAGTGCTTTCTAGCACTAGCTTATGATCTCAAATCCATTCATAGAATACATAAATTTAAAGCGACAAGAATTATCTGAAAAAATCTTTAAGATGGTGCAAAAAATAGTTTCTGAGATGCACATTACTGGTTGACAAGACACTAGTCACACGGTGTCAGCAGTTATTTCTAAGAATCACTTTCTGAAATCAACTTTACACACACACACACACACACACACACACACAGGCACCAATGAAAGTCACTAGTGACTTTTTTTTCAGTAGAAACTTTCAAATTTCTTGCAGTAACAAAGACTGTCAAATATATGATCAATTCTGTAACGTTTACAGACGTTATAGAACCAACGTAAATGTGCACAAAAATGCATCAGCACTGGATGTCCTAATACAGACAGGGTGCTGGTGAATGCTACCATTTTAAATATCATTTCGCCTATAGCAGTTCTGAGCAAAAATAGATGGCCAGTATTTAAAACAGCAGCGACAACCCATTTACACTAGCACTTTCAATACTGCCAATGATGATGTTAAACCAGACAGGAAATTCCTGAAAGTTTTCCATAGTTTAGAGAGGGCTAAAAGTCAGGGAAGAGGGAGAGCAAGCAAAGAGGGGGAAATTCTTGACATATTTCCAATTTCTATTGTATGAAAATGTTTTCATTAATTTACAGTCAAACAGCAAAATTAACTCTGCAATCTCATCTTATTCCTCGGTACTCATCTGCATGTGCAGTGGCAGGACTTTGCTACATAAAAGGAACATATACGGTAAGGTTGTCAACATGCAGACAACCACGTGATTAACCAATAACGCTAGGCTTATCAGTTAACCCTGTCAGCTCATGTATTCCTCCCCCATCCCCCACCCATATGCATGAGGAACTGGTTTTAATTCAGCTCTTTGTGTGTGCTGGCTCCGTGGACCCACCTACCCCCTCCCTTACTGCCTCTCCTACAGAGACAGCAGTGAGGCAGGAGAGA